AACGTGCACTCGTGGAATAATTGTTAAATATATCGCTCTAGGAACTTGTTGTTGCTTACCCCCAAGGGTAATTTACCAGGCGAAGTAAACCTTTTAAGCCTGAGATTCGACAATACTATAATAATAACAGTGATGATGATGATAGTAAAAAATGGACGTACATGTACATAATCAGTAATTTTAATATTTTGTGAAGAAATCTAGAAGTTAAATAAATGAGATGTCAACAAAACATTCTTTCAGAGAATTTCGTTTCGAAAAAAAAAAAATATGAAAAGGCGTGCAATTAACCGGGAAATTAATTCGCGCGAACTGAAAATGCTCCAACCCCCCCTCCCCCCCCCAACCCTTTAACTATTCTAACTTTCTGTCGCAAAGATTAAGAAATGATAACTGAGGCAAAGATACGCGAAGTCAAGAATTTGAATAGCAATACAGTTAGTTGTTACAGAAAGACAAATTTGTAGAGCTATACATTAAACGTTAAGTTATTAAATTCATGATTCCGCATTGTGGTTGTAATCCTCCGGTATTATCTCAAAAGTGATTAATCATATGCATATTCTTCATTATATTTCTTATTAAAAAATCTTCATTATTTCTTTTATGTTTATATTCGTGTGGTTGTCAGCAGCGTTTGTTGTAAATAATTTATCATGTTTAAATAGTATCTCCATAATTGGTTGATACCGTTCATTATTATTGCTTAAAGAATGAAACAAAGGTTGACTTTAATTTTTCTGTTTAAAAAGTGAATTTTAGACAAACGCCAACTGTCTTGCGAATTTTCTAAATAGGCTAGTGTTTTACTCAGTATTTCATAAGATGCCTGTTTATTTGAAACATTGTTTCTGCTATGCGCTATGAAGCTGTGCTGATACTTAGGTTAAATAATATGCGGAGAAACCCATCTGACTGAATATGTGACCAGCATCATAAATCCATGGGGAATGACGAAGCATTTGTAAAAAGGTTTGAACAATAGCTTTTTTTGTGGTTTTAAACACTGACACGCGGTAATCAACCAATAAGCGTGGGGCAAATAATACCTCGCTTTGCGCATTTCTACGCTGTCTCGTGTTTTGCCGGATACCGTGGAAACTGGGAGAAAAACTTCGTGTTTGCGGGTAACTCGGCGCAACGAGCTCACAAGACAATAAATCGTCCGTTAAAGTCATTTTCGTTCAACTTCATCACAAAGTTTTAAGTCTATAAATGTTAAGGAAGGGAAAAGCCTGATTTGGAAATTCAACGAGTTCTTCGATCGATTTGCAGCTGCTCCAAGGAAGGTATTTATAGGGCTCAAATATTTACGTTTTAATTCTAAAAATCAAGTATCTTAATTTTTCTCCGGCCAGAAAATAATACAATATTGCAATTTAATCAAAAGTACAGATTCCGTGAACAATTTGAGCAAATATAGCTCAATTTTAAACTCATGAGCTTGAACTGATTAGCCATATAAAAATTGTATTGTGGTAACGACAGTTGATTCTGAATATCAAACCATTGCAAGCACAAACCATCAAGTTCATCAAGGATATCTTAAATGCTGTGAAAAGCACGATACTGCAAAGTTTACTGCAAATAAAAATGCGACTATTGAGAAACGGCTTAAGTTCAGAAGACTCCGTTGCATGATCCGGCCTTAAATTATGTCAAGTATATATTCCGTAAATCTGAATTGCAAAAAACTTTACAGAATGCGTAACTAACACGGTCGAAATATCATTGTAATGCCAGAAAACAAGATCATGCATACCGTATTATAAAAACTGCCTAAATATTAGAGGCTGTAAGACAATATTTTTGTGGTATTTTGCATCGTGTATGGAATAGCGATTCAATCTCTGTTCCACACACGAATAAGTTATTCAGAGATGTCGCTATAACCTGAACTCGCCGAAAATACACTTTCTTGGTCTCTACTCCTTATAGAATGAGCCGTATTTCTGTGTTTGCATAAACATCAATAGCACAAAAACTTAGCAAAATCTCTGGGAGATTGGAATTATCAAGATTTACAGTCGATTCTCTCTTAACGGACACCTCTATAAGACGGACACCTCTGTAAAACGGACACCTAGAGTTGGTCTCTTCCTTTGTTTATTACCTTTATTTGACTCTTTATAAGACGGACATCTCTCTAAGATGGACACTAAAACTTTTTGCCAGTCCCAAAGGTGTCCGTCTTGAAGAGAGTTGACTGTACACTGCATAGTATTATTTTATATTTGGCATTGACATTAGTTTGCTCAAAGTCTTATTCGACACTGCTTAACTTTCAAATGGAAACTCCCTGTTTTGTTAAAACGGATCGAAGTTAAGTGTAGTACCGGCCATGTAGTCGTCCTTCGTAAAACTGAGCAAGTCAACATCCGTACATTAATCTTCAATACCAATTGGTTTCTTTTTTCATTAGATGACTTGTTTATGTTTTCTTAAGTGTCGAAAAAAATTACGATAATGGAGCTGTTTGTTTGTAAAATTCATTATCCTCTGTGTAGATTCCAAATTAACTTTCAACAGCGGGAGATCGTCAAAGTTAAACGCACACCGTGATATCCTATTTTCCCCCGGAAAATCTATGGAATTCATTGCAGTAATACAAAAATCTATGGCACAATCAATTTTGTGAAGGATTCTTAATTGGATGTAACTTGATGTAGTCTACAACGCACTTCATGGACAAATCCTCCGTTTCTATTCATTCTACGTGTTAACGTAACAAACCTAATAACTTTTCGTAACCAAAAACATGTTTAACAACTCCTTTGCTTTAATTGTTTTCGTCCTTATTTTCTTTTGCGAACTAACAGTTTTGAAGGCTACGTTGTTGTTTATTTTCGTGGTTAGGATAATTTTCCAGCTGGATCAGAATGTTTATATTTTCGAAATAATTGCAGACAAATTAAGCCATCTTTAAACAAAAAAGAATCCTCATTTGACCATGTGGTAAAAAGTCATGTTATAAAACTGACACATTTTGTGAAAAATCCTGAGAATGAAAAATTACTAATAGAAGTGTGAAAAAATCCCTTCTGCATCCCTTCTACAAAGCCCGGATCGATTTTCACAGTTTTTGTGCGGACACTGACATTGAAACTGTTGAACTGGATCTATCCACTCAGACTTTTGATTTATTTTTACACGAAGTTCTATTTAATTTCTTGGAATTCCGATGCTTAGGTTTCTTCATTTAAATGGCTTATGAGGATGGAAAATAAACTGTAGTATAGACATTTAGTGAACTAAATTCTAAAACTATTTCTGAAATAAAATATTTGTGTATAGAGCTAAGTTGTTCTATACTATACACGATACTAGTCTATCAAAAAAGCCATCTTGAAAACGTTTTGTCTTCGCAATTCATCCAAATTGGTCTGAGTCCACAGCCACTAGTTTTAAATGATGATAATAATAACAATAATAATGATGATGATGATGATGATGATAAAATATAATACATCATACATGACGGTAATCTATGAATGTCACATAATCCATGAGTTAAAAGGTTTGAAAATTTGTTAAGGGAACTAATGTTTTTCCAGTCTTAACCCTCGGACGTACATGCAAATTCATGCCCCTCCGTTTTTAATTTTGCCTTCAGTGGAAAGCCTTTGATCTTCTTAACAAGATGAGATATATTTTATTAGTGGTGGCACTGCCGGAGGCCTATGACGTCACCAACAATGGTCGCCATTTTGGCCGCCATCTTGGATTTTACCAAGAATTAGAAATCAGGTTAAAACTGTGAGAAATGCTAATTTTTGTGCTTCGCATGAAAAATAACACATAAATAAGCACTCTGTATGATTCTAACCACAAGATTTACTGTTGAACCTATTATTGTATTATTAGTACTATTTATTGTTAAACCATGAATTTTCACTCAAAAATGGCTTGTTTTATCTGTCTCCTGCGGTTTGGTAGAGTCAAAAGAAATTATCACTACGAAGGAAATATGACAAGGACCCCAAAAACCTGGCCTTTTCGTTTTTCTTAGTCGGCTTTTGAGCTAAGTCTACTACAACATGTAAAGAACAAATCATGATCGCATAATTTTCTAACAGTTAAGAACAAACTATTTTCAATATTATCATGCGCAACAAACTAAATCACGACTGACTGTATTACTCACAGTTTTTGGTCAGATCAAGTGGAAACTAAAAAACTCCACCTGTATTGCCGGCGTTCTGTATGCAGTTAATTTTAATACGTATTTCAAATTTATATACTTTTTGTATTTATTGGTTATTGGACTTTCACTGTGATACTTAATTTCAAAAATGTCACTTAAGCCCCCGGTCACTACCTGTATTTGGTTATTTGTCAGTTACCTTTAAATAAACTGTTTTCGTCAGTTTTTTTTCGAATCGCGCGCGCGGCTTTATTAGCATGGGTTAACTGACTCTGTTTCTCAAGAAACACGAACAATGTCTCCAAGTAATGAATACAGTCATCGAGGATATGAATTATTTTCTATTTTATTAACTTTACGTTTACGTTTGCTTATCATCTTGTAGGATAATACGCAGCCAGTGACCAGTCTTGTTTGTTCAACCGTCAAAATGGAAGTGAAGTAATCATGAAACGGATATGTATAACAAATAAACGTTATTGTCAGCCCAAATTTCAGTTGAAGCCGCAAACAGTGCGAGGAACAGGGAATAATGCTGAGTCAAGGAGACTCACCAGCGCCTCTTACTGAAGAGAATCTCCAGAAACATCAAAGACAAACAACTCGACATCAAACTTCTCTAAAAGACACCATAGCAAGACAAGCTAGTTTTCGATCGGCGGGGGACGGAGAAAGTACAGACTTTGTAAGCGATGAAGCAATTTTGAAGGACTCACTCCACAAAGAGGAAAGTAATGAAAAGGAAGCAATTTGTGATGAGAAAGAAAAACAAGAGAGCAACTCCGCCAACATTGTTGTTTTGGAAGACATGAGTAAACGAGAGAAAACAAGATCACCCAAAAATTTAACTCAGAAGGATACAAACTTGAAAATAAATCAACCAAGCGGAAGTGAAAATGCTTCGGATAAATCGCTTGAAGTGGAGAATAAGAACTTTGAATCAGAGGATGAAGGTAACAGCGTTCATGCTGATCGCTCTGCAAGCGAAAACATAGAGAATGACGAGGATTCTGAAGAAGATTCCGATTCATCAAGTTCTGTTGACAGTGACATCGACTCTGTTATCGCCAAGGAAAACAAAACTGATGAAGAGAATGAAGATTCGAGCAAGGATACCGCCAGAACCTCTCGTTCATCATCTTCCCTGGTTGAGGATGATAATGAGGATAATGACGACGATGATGACGACGACGATGACGAAGATGATGAATCTGAGGAATCAGAGCAAATAGAAGATGAAAAAAGTGAGAACGCGCTGACTCATTACACCAGTAGTTTAAATGCTAGTATGAGCAGCATCCCGACAATTTATGATGACACTAGAGACATAACTCCTCTTGAAACACCAAACAGGGAGGACGAATCGTTTGAGCAAAATCAGGAAGAGAACGTGGAGCGTGAGGAAGAAGGCAAAGTTGTAGGCGAAGAAATAAGTATAAACGAAGAAGAGGAAATAAAAGTAGAAGAGGAAATACCACTAGAAACCCAACCACCAATGAGTGATCATGAAGAGGACAATTATACTCCACCCGGTAGTAGACAGGTTAGCGGGCGCTCTGCCACCCCTCTCACTGTCGTAGCGAGTGAATTTGACGAAGTGGAGAGCACAATATTTGATCGGAGAGAGTTGAGCCCACCTTGCAGCAGCCAGCGAGATAAACTGACGCCCAGTGAGAGCAGTGGAAATTCTGAAGTTACAATAAAAAACTGGGCAGGATTTGGACAGGAATATGTTACGAGTAAAGGAGATAGTACGCAAAGTGTGGCTCTGAATAACCATGTTAATCCTAAGGATAAAAAGCGATTGAAATCGAAAAAGGCACGCGACGCTAAAAGGCATGATTTAATTGAGAAAAATTATTCAACAAATAGAGAACAAAAGAATCAACCTTCTTCAAAAAGAAAATCTAAGAGACCTAACGTTAATTCCAGAAAAGTAGGACTTGTAAGACAGACTTCGCTCAGCAGTAATGATTCTGACGTTGATAAACAACAGAGAGTAAAACGTAGGAAAAAGAGACCTGTAAAACAGGTTTCATTTGCCAAGTCACAAACAGAAGATGTCGCTAAAACAAACACAAGTGACTCTGCTTTTAACGGAAGTCGTACAGAGAGTAGAGGAGAAGAAGGGCAACCAAGCCCCAGGCCACCGGAAAGCGAACAAAGTGACAGAGCGAGCAGCCGCTGGAGCGCTGCGGAAACTGAACGCGCGTCAAGCACGGCAACCAGGCCTGTTAGTACGGCCCAGTCTCCACGCAGTTACTTCTCCTCCTCAAGGCAGACGTCACTTGTTGAGGAAGTGACATTTGTTAATTATGCACCAATAATTAAGGGCAAGAGGAAACAACTTCCTTCATTGAGAGGTATGTAGAAGATCCATTTGTATTAGAATTAGGTAGGAGCCTCTTAGCAGGAGCAAAAGCAACTCCCATACTTAGCCTATGCAACGGCGTTTTATTTTTAGCATCATTTTGGAGCATTTTTCCCGCGAAAAAAGGAGTACGTTGCATATGTATGCGCATCCACAGTACAATAATTGCAAAAAGAAATAGTAATTCCTTTGAAAACATTAGAAATACTGTTTTCTTGTAAGACTTACTTTATGTAGTAAAAATTTGCGGCAAAAACCATGATCTAAAATTAGTTTGGTCTGCATGGAATACGCCGTTGCATGGGCTGCGCAATGGAATTGCTCGCTCTAGCCGGGTTAAGGGCTCCTGGATCACTTCAAATAGAATTGAAACCTAGATTGGTTTTTGTAGAAGCCAACATGGCTGAGTGATTCTCAGTTAGAGCGACGAATTTCAGCCTGGTCGACGCGGGCTCAAATCTTCTTTCTGCCCGCTAGTACATTCTGAACTCCTGAGTTAGCTGGCTTTCCTATGGAAAGTAGGCCTGTTATGCTGATTAAAGGTTAAGTTATTTGTTTCTGTCCTTATTTATTGACCAGAATATTATGTTACCCGTTACTGACGTGTCACCCCTGTTAAGTTCGTCAAGTAAATTTTCAAAGGTCATTTTATGACTGCTTTCTCTAGTTTTGAATAAGTACAATGTTTTACTTGATAAAAAAACATCGAGCCATTGGTACTTTCTCGACTAATTAGAGATGGAATGAAGCTTAGTACTACACATCGTCACCTTAGAAACGGTAATACAGTGTTCTGATGTACAGCCGCTTGGCTTCCGAATGGAAAACACTCCTCTGTGAATCGATTTCTTTCATTTCAATCTATTAGCAAACAGCCGGAGCGGCAGTCTGTACACATGCCTTACCTATTTGGTCCTGGCAAGCTTTTCTGTGTGTTTACTTTCAGCTATCAAGTTTTAATGTTTGATGGAAAGAAATTAAGTTAATGGGACAAATTGCTCTTAGATCCGGAGCTACCATTCTTCTGCTACTTTTAAACAGAGTTCTGTTTCAGGAAGCTCCCGAAAGTTAAGGGCAGAAGCCCATCCTGTTAAGGGGTATTTTGGAGAAACTAGCTGAGAGGGCTTGTTTGGGCGTACATTTTGGTTATTCAGAGTAACTATAAACAAATCTAAGAACTTTATATGAAACGAGAGGAATAAAAGAAGAAAGAAAGAAAGAAACTAAACTAAAGAAAGAAATGACAGGTAGCTTAATTTTGAGCCATCTCATCGAGTCGCAAACTGACTCCAAAGAGAGATGTCTGAATCAACGAGCCGCTCGAGTACTTGATCGGATTGTCCTTCGGAGCCGCCTGTGTCATCACAGGTAGCCCAAGCTCACTATGAGAGCCGTGAACAACATTATCCTACTTAGCTAATTAATTATTCATACAGAAAGAAAATTATAAAGACGTTGTATGGAGAAATATTCTTTGCTCACTAAATTAGCAAAATGTACATTGAATATCGCTTTGAAGCTTACCTTTAGCGTCTTCTTGTTTTTCTTTGTATTGTGGCTGCATTTCAGACCTCCTAGACACTGTTTAAGGCCTTTTTTGGAGCGACAGTTTTTCACCCAGATGACAGTAGAGAGAAGAGAAGAAAAGGTTGGCAAACCTCTCTTGACCGGCTCCGCTCTCGGCGGTGATAAATTCCGTGACATTTGCGACATGGAGACAATTCCGCCCGAAACAGATGTCCTGATAAATAACGCACATTTTCCATCATTCACGTCGCCAAAATTCCCATTTCGAAGGTCCTAAATCGCCAACGAAGTGGGCAATACACGGCTGAGGTGAGGCGAGTCGAGAGCAGACCCGCAACGGACTCCAAACGTCACGTCGACAATTCAAACCGACGCAGGCTGGCAGGGTCAAATTGTTCAACCGTCAAAGGACAATTGGAGCATTTAGCCTACTGGGCACAGTAACTGATTTTTCACTTCTCACATTGCACTCCGGGGTCGCGGAAGTCAAGCATCGCGTGTGATAGTGACATGTAATATCAAAACATGTCGCGTTGTTAATGTTTTGATCTCTACTCTTCTTTTTAAAAAGCGTTTGACAATGGTTTTTTATGTATGATTTAGAAAAAAATAATACCCTGGATTCGCCTTGATTTATCTTCAATTCTTAAAGTTGACAGTGCCTAGGAGGTCTGAAATGCAGTCACAATACAAAGAAAAACAAGAAGACGCTAAAGGTAAGCTTCAAAGCGATATTCAATGTACATTTTGCTAATTTAGTGAGCAAAGAATATTTCTTCATACAACGTCTTATAGTTTTCTTGCTGTATGAATAATTAATTAGCTAAGTAGGATAATGTTGTTCACGGCTCTCATAGTGAGCTTGGGCTACCTGTGGTGTCATTGACTGAAAAAGACAACTTTCCCTAGCATGCAAAAACTGGCGAAACTTCCTTAGTGTTCGGCGAGGAATGGGAAGAGAGGGCTGTTTTACCAGGCTAATCTTTTTCAAGTCAGGCTACGATGTCAGGAGCAGTAATTGGCCCCTAACGGTGTCTAAACTAGACTTCCACCAGAGCTGTTGATTAAAGGAAAAAAGTGCTGCTGCTGTTGTTGTTGTTGTTTTTTTTTTGTTCAAGTAGTGATAAAGTTAACTACACAAAAGCGGACTTGTCGTTTTTGGTTCTTTGTATTTTGGCTGATTAGATCTCTTTTCTAGAGATCCAACGTTTACAACAAGCAGGATCTTCGTCCACTGTTTTTGCAGTTAAGTTAATCCTTTATCGTAAAAGCGGGACAAGGTTGACTTACCTCGGCCTCAAAGTGTTTTACTTTACTGAAAAATTGGACACTTTTTTGTTTGTCCGAGATGAAAATCTCTCTAAAATTTGAGCAATTTGTAAAGCCCAGCTGAAGAGTAATCCGGATTTCGCGCGTACAAAGCCGCCGAGTGAAACTGGGGCGACATTTGATTTTCGCGTTTCCGTGACTACAAGGTGTTTTGGCAACGTGACGTCACGCACAACATAACATTCTACACTGCCGCCATGTTACAGCAGAAGTAATTATTACAACACAGTGATTTTGCTGCTGGATTGAAAGGTCCTACAATCAAAACTACCATCAGTAATTGTTTGAAAGTCGATCTAGAGTCCTGTTATGACTCTAGAATTTGAAAATCCTCCGTTCTTATCTAATATCGGTTTAAATTCGTCCTATAACGATGAGACCGATTTTACTGCTTTGGATCGACTGACTTCGAAAGTAAAGAAATCTTCAGTTATTTCTGTAACCCGAAAGGAAGGCCTCTTTGCCGAAGAAAAGAACCAAGATAGTGGTGAAATGTCCGGCAAATATTCAGATGATTACGATAGCTACGAGGACGATTTCGACAGCCCGAGCCCGACGAAAGAAGCTAGCCGAAGGTATTCTAGATCATCGAGGCATTCTCGTAGATCGGAAAGAGATCGTACTCCTTCAAGCTCACCGCCAAAGTATCGATCACGATCAAAAAAGGCCTCTTCAAGGAGAGATTCTTTTGCTTCGTACAGAAGTGCTTATAGCACGACTAGAGGTAAACTTGCTTTTGATTTAAAAGGTGTTTTGTAGACGTAGAGATACGTTGTTTCGAAAAACTATTTATCAGACATGTACTGTCGTGCTATAAATCCTCTCGGCTAAGCCGATTGATGTGTTAGATGTTTCATAATTACTCAACCTGAAGGGGCTGTTCTCCCTCGACTCAGAAATGATATTTGTTGCACAAATAGACCGGTGTTTGGAGATCATGCATGGTAAATAGAGGAGTAGATCGAATTCCAGAAGCTAAAGATTAATCGTTGAGGGCTGAGCTGAGTGCAGCTCGCTTTCGGCTTACTGTGTTACAGGTGAGATCTCAGCCGATTTCTCGAATGCTAAAGTCGCCACGAAATAACCGAGAGAGTATGCCATGTTTATTTTTTGTGGGGGATAGTTTCTAAAATACATTCGGCCGCTCTAATTTATTTTCTAGTATTAATAATTAATCAGCACTGAATTAATTGATTTGTCATTTTGAACAGTAATTTATTAACTCAGACAGAAATCTGTTTTTGTTTTGGTTTACTCCTTCGTAACACCAGAGCCTCGTTAACCATTTTCCAAGTTAGGGTCCTGGATTATTTTTACTTTTTGCAAAATGAGCCAAGACTAGACATGTATGATTTTTCCTGAAACACTTTTCCACTGAACATGATTTTTATCAATAATTATCAATGGCTATACCATCCAGAGCATCAGCAGAGTATTAAGACGGAATCCACCAGGAAATTGAGTAATTTTAATTTTCAGTGGACAAAAACCTTGTACCAGAATAATTTAAAGAATATTGGATTCTTTTTTACATTTTTCAAGGGCTAAAGATGTAATTAGTCATCTGTAATAACGCATAAGAAAATTTCTCATGGGAATTCAAGAAAGTGCATGTCAAATTTTGCAAACGTTGTGAAAACCCAGGTAAAATTCTGAAAATTTCATTTGTAAGATGTACTTTTGTGAAATTTGACATTTTCTTTGGCTCCCATAAGAAATTTTCTTTGGTGTTATTACAGATGACTAATTACATCTCTAGCCCCTGAAAAATGTAAAAAAGAGTGCAATATGCTTTATATTATTCTGGTACAAGATTTTTGTCCACTGAAAATTAAAATTACTCAATTCACTGATGGATTCTGTCTTAATATTCTTCAAAACCTGACTGTCTCCAACATTCATCATGTTCTGATCACTGGTATGTGCTAGCTTAACCGGAAAATCATATTTAACTTACACATCCTCTGGGCTCCAACAATTGATGAATATTGCTTTATTTGTGTGTGACTGTATATCTGCATGTGTGTGTACAAATGCACATAATGTACATGTATGTATTACAATACATGCTTATTGTAGGTAAACATAAAAGTTATTAGTAATTTTGTTTTCATTCAAATCATTAATGAAATGTTTGTTGTCTCTGCTACTTCTTCTAGGGCCTACAAAACCTAGGAACAAGAAAAGCCAATCAGCCACCTCAAAAATGACGACTAAAACAGCTGGAGGTGAGAGTTCCATGATGCGCCGTGTTTTGTCTGCAAACAAACACAAAGTGTCGAGGTTGGCAAATATCATGGAAGAACTACAGCAGGAGGTGGAGGAGTTAAAGTTAGAAAATAGGTCTTTAAAAAGGGTGAGCCATCGTCAAGAAAGAGAAATAAGAAAAATTGACGAGGAGGAAGCAGCCTTACCGATATTGCTTCAAAGGCACAGTGCTGAAATGCGAACATTAAAAGAAAGACTGAAGAAAAATCAGGAAGTCTTGCATAGGAAGGAAAAAGAGTCCCAAGATAGAGATCATGAGATTCAGAAACTGAGAGACAAAGTTAAAAGCTACCGTGAACTTACACAGGAGAAAAAACTAGGAGAACGGGCTGCGCTAGCAAAAAAGTTAGAGAACGTTGAAAATGAAGTGGCTTTGAAAGATAAGAAGATAATGGTAAGTAATGGTGATGAATTAATTAATGATGTTGTCTCTTCCTCTCGTTTGTATGAGGACATCATGCAAATATAGTGGAACTTCTCCTTATAGTCATCTCAGTCCATATTATTATAAACAATTATTGGATGAGGTTTTTATGATATCTGGAATAATCAAGCCGAAGCCGAAGGCTGAGGCTGATAGCACTAACCGAGACCTTGATTATTCCGGATATCACAAAAACCGAATCTAAAAATTGTTTTATTATACATTGTTTTGAAGAAAAAACTTACTTACTTACTTTCTTACTTCTTACTTTCTTACTTCGCTGTCCGCGAACTTGACATTGCTGTCCGTGCACTTGACATTGCTTTTGGAAATCATGCATTGCGTGCGCAACCTACAGATTATTCACTAATCTGTAGGTACAGATTAGTGAATAATCTGTAGGTTGCACTGTTTCCCAGAATTAAATGTAGGCTTTTAGCCAATGAGAAGACAGATGGTGACTACAATGTATAATAATAAATAATAACTGCATGATGCTCATTGGTCTTGAGATACATGTATGGTTCATGAGGGTAAAGAGTTATGGAAATGATCAGATGCAATTTGTTCTTCTCTGTCTCTCATGCATGATTTTTTTTTCTGCAAAAAAACTAAAAACAAATAGACAGCAATAATTATTTTTCATTGTTGTATACACTTAATTGACCATAGAAATGATGCCAAAATGTTCACTTAGCTGTGTCTCATAGTTTCACTTGGCTTTTAAACATATTTATGACATCCTTTCTTTTGTCTATAAGTGGATTATTATTGTTGTCTGTTTTTAAACAGACACATGCTTTAATGGACAGCTAGTAGTGTTCCCAGTTTTCATTTTCATGGTGACTTTCCTGCATTCATTATTGTCTTAATCAACAGCTAACATTGGGTAGGCTTTGACAGGGAGGGGTGGAGGAAGAGGGTTGTAGACAGGCATTTTCAAGATATTATGCAATTGGTTGTTTTTATTTTTCGAAATGTGAATTCTATAAACTATTCTTTGTGTTCCGTGACCAAAAGGCTGAGTGTGACTAGAGAAAAACTCCAATAAATAATCGGTGTTCAAGATTTCATTACTTATTTTCTTGTGATTTTCAGTTTTGAGACCTCTGGAATATGAAAAAAGACTATGAATATGAAAAGATCATCAAATGAGAATGATGATGATCTTTATAAAGTTGCTATTTGCAGTCTTCTTTTTCCTTTTCACCACTTTGCTGTTTTGCCAGGTTCTCTTTTGCCACTTTTATCTTTGTGCAAGAACAAGGTAAAATTGGTAATTTAAATGCTGATTAACGTGACTAAAAAACTGAAATGAACTTTTTGATATATTCCGTGATTTGTGATTACATGTAGTTTATTTTTTTGGTCCATGAACAATGCCAGAAACTCCTCCTGTACCACCCTGAGAAAACATGACTAGGTTAAAAATCACATATCAGGTGGTTAAATCCAGTTGACTATACCAGCAATGTTGCGTAGTTTAACCTGGGACTACTGAGAAATTAGTCTAACAACTGGTTGGAGCAGGGTTTGAACCTAGTGCTTCTGTAGTGCCTATCATGTGCTCTGGCCACTTAGCCCTGCTGAGTGTGGTCACCAGTTCACTTGTGTGATGACATTTAACTCAGGTTTCAGTACAGCTTTACTCAGTTTGGACATGAAAAATTGCTCTTGATGAAACTGATCTTAACATGCATGTATGTTAACAGTAGTCTTCAGTCTAGTGTGAAACAAATTGTCTCTCTTTCAGTTCAATTCACCAATCTTATCAGTTCTCTTCTACATCTCAACTGCTAGAAAAAAAAATTAATCCTGAGTAAAATCTCGCACCCTGGCTTTTATCTTACCCCTAAGGGAATAGAAAAGATGCATTGCTATGTGTGATCAACTTAATCTATTATTAATACTGAGGATAGACCTGTTTACACTGGAGGAGGTTTATCCCGATTCTTATGATTCTGGAATTATTAAATTTGATAAAATTCTGATTCGCAGGTGTTTCCACTTCTTACAAAGTACTTGCCATAGATTCTTTATTCAAAATCTTTATCTGCATAACCAAAGTGTTTTTTTTTTTATTTTGGATTCACTCATCTGTTTGTGAGAGCGAAATAGAATCCAGTGCCAAAGTGTTGCATTTTCATCATGAAGCGGGAAAAATCTCCTTCAGTGTAAACCTACACCTAAGTGTAGTAGAAACGTTTGTGCTCCTTCCATATTCTTCAGTTGTTTTTTAAAAATACAGTCTTGTTGAATAAACACCATTACAGTTCTATGTTTCCTATACAAGTCTTATTATCCAACAAGAATTTCAAATATTAAATTATGACCACAGACTCGGATTTTGCAATAACATTGTAATTAATTAAAAGTGTAACTTTTTAGTTTTTCCTGAAAGACAAATTGAATACTGTTTTAACTGTTGGGTCATCTCTGATAAAAATATCTTGAAAATGTTACCAGTTATACCAGTGTACCAGATAAAGAGGAATACATGTCCTTTCCTTTGTTGTTGTTTAATTGTTATTCCCTCTATTAATTTTTCATATGCTAACTTGACTAAAACAATTATTAAAAAAACAACACGTCAGAAATGAGTTCATTTATCATGACATGGTAATAGAACTGTTTCACCCAGCTGCTTTGTTCTCACAATCTCTAGGAACTAGAGAAAGCCATCTCCCTGAAAGACAAGGCTAGACAACGAGAAATGAAAGAGCAAAAGGATCGCTACAAACATGCTAAAGAAGAGCTTCAAAGAGTGCAGGAGGATTTCAGATCACTGCGTGAGAGATTACAGGTAACATTACAACAACTGCGGTTTTCCACTGTCATTTTTTACATGAACATGCATGCTGTAACCTCCTGAAGGGTGAAAATGATATGGAAGGAAGAAAAACAGTTGACAGTGATGGAATAACCACCCTAAAAAAAACTTTTCATCAACTAATACTTCGTATAGACGTCTGCAGTGTAGGCAGTTCATGTCTACAGCTCGTTAAAAGCATGTAGAATTTTCATAAATGTTGATGAAAAAACATTTAAAGCGGAAGCTTGTTTTTGTTGAAAATTGAATTCAGGAATACACCTTTTTAATATGACTTTTTTAATTTTAGACTCTTACCAACTGTTTATATAAATTTTGCGTCTGGTTTTTCCTTATGTAATTTGGCTTCTGTCAGAAATGTGGCGGAAAAAATTAAGCGATATTTCCATTACAATTTTAGAAATGTTTAGACCAAGAATTCACCTTTTTTTGTTTTTGCTCTAACAAAACAATCTTTTCTCATTAATTTAGTTGTTCACCTGTTTTTTAAGTTAAAAGCACAAAATAAAGAATTCGTTTAAATGATTCTGGATCGGAAAAAACAATATTAAAATTTAAAAAATGTCTCACGCGGTCTTCTTCCTTCCCTCTGTAATTTTAGTTTTCTTTTTCTCTTTTTTTTTGGCGTGAAGCAACAACGTTTCAGATGGACAGCCCATCGATCAATAGCGAGTCAGCACAATATGTAATCGCATTACATTGAATCCATCGAAACTTTCCTAGAATTAAGTCGCATCTCTATAATTCATTAAGATGTAATATTAATACAAATGTGCCCCTCCCCCGCCCCCTGCTGCTTTCAATAACTTTTTTTATTGCGATAACGGGGAGCACTTGTTTCCAAAAAAAGAGGGGAAAAACATCAAGTTTATTAATTCACGTTACATGTATGAGATGACTTTNAAACATTTAAAGCGGAAGCTTGTTTTTGTTGAAAATTGAATTCAGGAATACACCTTTTTAATATGACTTTTTTAATTTTAGACTCTTACCAACTGTTTATATAAATTTTGCGTCTGGTTTTTCCTTATGTAATTTGGCTTCTGTCAGAAATGTGGCGGAAAAAATTAAGCGATATTTCCATTACAATTTTAGAAATGTTTAGACCAAGAATTCACCTTTTTTTGTTTTTGCTCTAACAAAACAATCTTTTCTCATTAATTTAGTTGTTCACCTGTTTTTTAAGTTAAAAGCACAAAATAAAGAATTCGTTTAAATGATTCTGGATCGGAAAAAACAATATTAAAATTTAAAAAATGTCTCACGCGGTCTTCTTCCTTCCCTCTGTAATTTTAGTTTTCTTTTTCTCTTTTTTTTTGGCGTGAAGCAACAACGTTTCAGATGGACAGCCCATCGATCAATAGCGAGTCAGCACAATATGTAATCGCATTACATTGAATCCATCGAAACTTTCCTAGAATTAAGTCGCATCTCTATAATTCATTAAGGTGTAATATTAATACAAATGTGCCCCTTCCCCGCCCCCTGCTGCTTTCAATACCTTTTTTTATTGCGATAACGGGGAGCACTTGTTTCCAAAAAAAGAGGGGAAAAACATCAAGTTTATTAATTCACGTTACATGTATGAGATGACTTTCTTATTCGGTAGCAGGAAAATCGCCCCGTGCAAGGGAATCCAGGTTCAAGAATCCGGGAATTTTTTTGCTTGTGGAACTGGTGGGATCCTAAGCTTTAGAATCCGGAATACATCTCAAGGAATCCAGAATCCCACTGACGATTGCAATCCAGAATCCAAGACTGTCTTGGATTCCTTTATATAAGGCAAAGAAAATCTACTTGTCCATGACAACCAACCGGGACTTAAGAAAAAGACCTGGCCAACTTTTTATGTCTTTAATAATTTGTATGACCCTTTTGTCAGTATTAGAGCTTTAAAGTTTAATTATCCCATATGTCTTATTTTACAGGAAAAGGAAAAAGAGTTGGATGAGAAGAACATTTACCATTACCAAATTACTAAACAGAAGAAGAAAGGCGCTACATTGCCAGCCCTCCCCGCTGAGCCCCAGGCTCCTGCTATTAGCGCTCCTGTTATTCATGCTTCAAAATCCGCGGATACCCAAGAGAAACGGGCAAACGTGTTTTTAACAAACGCACCGAGTGATACTGGCTCAGTGTTAACGGATGAAGTGGAGAGGTCTTTCAAAGTTGAAGTTCGACAGGATAAGCCGACTGTTTCTGAAGCGGCTAAACCAATTGTGTTAGAAGCTAATAAACGTGATAAGGATGATGATGATAGACTTAGAGGGGGCGCAGAGGAACGGAGTAGACTTGACGAAGATGAGCGACGAAGGCGCTTGGAGGAAGAAGAGCTGAAGCGGAGAGAGGAGGAAGAGAAGCGAAAAGCAGAGGAAGAAAGACGGAGAAGGGAGGAAGAAGAAAAGCTAAACAAACAACGGGAAGAAGAAGAACGCTTGCGAAAACAGAAAGAAGAAGAAGAGAGAAAGCGGTTCGAAGAAGACGCGGAAGTTCGGCGAAAGAAAGACTTGTTGTTGGCTCGGATGCGAGCGATAGATACAGGTAACGATAAACCAGACAGTGGTGTAACAGTAGGACATACTGCGGATCCTCCTGTTAATGATAAACCCAAAAAGCTACCAATCTTTCTTCAGAGTGACCAACCAGAGCCGCAGAAAGCAAAGCCTGCGCCGAAAAGTGTGGCCTCTGACGACGATGTTTTTTCTGATATCGGAGGGGATAGAAAGAAACGGAGCAGTGCCCGTTCCAAACATAGTAGCTATTCCTATGATTTCAAACAAACTGTGGAGAATCTTCATCATGGACTTCCCGCCCATGTGTCACTTGAGAACATTAAAGATCAAAGCGCCAAAGTAGACGGCAAGGACTCGTTGTCGGACGATCTTAGCATTGGTTCCTATAAACCAACACTCGGCAGAAGGGCTGCCGCGAAAAGAGACAGTAGAGAAAAAGATGAACTCTCATTCGGAGGTTATAATCCTTCTTTTGGCGCGAAAAAAGACACGACGCGGAAAAACAGTGGTCTTGACTTCGGGACGGGGAAGAAAGCTATACCCCAGAAAGAACAAAATGGTGTAATACTTGGTGATTATAAACCAACGTTAGGCGGCGCATCCACTAAAACTGCTTCAACTCAGCAAAACGGGGATATATTTGGTGACAGAGACAGTCAAGTGCGGAATCGAAGAACAAGAGGCTTCGCAAGTAAAGGGGCATCGGTGTTTGGCGATGATCTGTTTGAAAATGATAATCCTAAGCCAACAGGAGAACCTCTGTTTGGGGACAAGTCATTAAACAAAGACAAATCCTCCTATCCGTGGGAGAATAAAGTAGACGTCACACGGAAAAACAGTGAAGGGGATTCTTTACTACCTCGGCGTAGAGTACACTTGCAACAAAACGTTCGCGCTGTGAACAATGCGCTAGGCGACATTGATGACGAGATTGAAGAAGTTATTCTTTAACATAATATAGTCAGAGAAAGTTTTATACAAATTTCTTTATATCAGAGGTAAATTTTATGAAATAGGTCGTGTTATTTTCCATCTCGTTTGTCACGTGTGGTCTCTCAGTCTGTGAAAGTAGTGTTAAATCATGATGTTTTATAACAAAATGTTTTTTTGACCTTATATTCAATAGAAGTACTCAAAGACACACTTGCGTTTTATCGATGATGCCGCTTGACAATAAATATGTTTCGTATCACGATGGCTCTTTCTGTTTCTGATAGTTTCTAATAGTCTGTTCACAGTCCCGTATTTTCCTTAAGATGGTGGGGAGTAGACTGGGAGTCTAGACCTCGATCCTAATTAGCTTAGCGGAGAAGTAATCAGCNAACAAAGACAAATCCTCCTATCCGTGGGAGAATAAAGTAGACGTCACACGGAAAAACAGTGAAGGGGATTCTTTACTACCTCGGCGTAGAGTACACTTGCAACAAAACGTTCGCGCTGTGAACAATGCGCTAGGCGACATTGATGACGAGATTGAAGAAGTTATTCTTTAACATAATATAGTCAGAGAAAGTTTTATACAAATTTCTTTATATCAGAGGTAAATTTTATGAAATAGGTCGTGTTATTTTCCATCTCGTTTGTCACGTGTGGTCTCTCAGTCTGTGAAAGTAGTGTTAAATCATGATGTTTTATAACAAAATGTTTTTTTGACCTTATATTCAATAGAAGTACTCAAAGACACACTTGCGTTTTATCGATGATGCCGCTTGACAATAAATATGTTTCGTATCACGATGGCTCTTTCTGTTTCTGATAGTTTCTAATAGTCTGTTCACAGTCCCGTATTTTCCTTAAGATGGTGGGGAGTAGACTGGGAGTCTAGACCTCGATCCTAATTAGCTTAGCGGAGAAGTAATCAGCCTACACTTTTTCGACACTTAAGCTCTTCGCAACCGTGAATTTGAAAAACAATTAACATGTTCTATTTGGCTGAACGATTGGCCAATAGCCCAATTTCCTGGAAACCACTGATCCAATAGCCTCCCACTCAGTTACTCTTTAGGGCTAACACTGCGCTTAGCGCCCGCCCCTCAGGATAAGAAGAGAATTCTCGGTTATCAAGACTTTACAAATGCAGATTGAGTTCTGAATCAAAACAAAGCGTATTTCCAGGCTTTTCTACGAGAAATATACGGGTAAATTTGATCAGACAAGACAACAGACTACTATAGGTCATGCTTTGCTGTAATTTATGTTGAAATTTCCAATTTGGATAATAATAAGAAGTTCTTTTCCAGCTAGGACCGGATAAGCGGGCGAGTGCGTTTTTTTTGGCGGCGGAGTAAAGTGAAGATTAGGAGTATAAATTTCCTCGCGGCGTCGCCACTCGTTTCGCGTGGTAGCTCCGCCGCCAAGAAAGTACCCCGGGCAACAATCCCACCAGCTCCCAAAAATCCCTCGCGGCGTCGCCGCTCACTCCGTCGCTAAGAAAGTTTACCGGGCACAACAATCCCGCCAGCTACGCAGGCTAGTTCTTTTCTGGTTCCTTCAATTTGGTATAAGTTGCGTGAGTTTTAGAATTCAAGAACACATGAAACCCTGCATTGACCTCGATAATACCTGTGAACACTTAGTTTTATTTACTTGGGGGCGGGGAACTGAGTGTACTATACAGCATATTTATGGAAATACAACTTGAAAAATTTTCACACGATTAATTAGCAACGCCTTCGAGATCTGCATAATTCTTCAGATCATACGAAAGCCGAATCCAATAAATGCTTTATTATGTACCAGTCAATTCCACAACCCCCGCCCTGCTGGGCAAACCCCAGGGCATTTGACTTTTTTTAAAAAATTTTGGTCAATTCCCTGGTATGTTGGTCAGTTTAGATGGTCAAACGCCCCGCCGACTAGCGCTTCAAAAAGCATCAAATCCCTTACCCATCAGCCACTATTAAAAAACTGTCCCTCCAAAATATCAGTCTAAAGTCTCGTAACGTTGTCTTACGGAAGTTTGTTTCTTTCAATAAAATTGTTCACTCCAGAAAGCTCACATTTAACAGGCTTTTTCAAAGGCTCTCAAAAGCTCCAACGAAACAATGAATATAGAAGAAATGACTAATGAACGCGGTGCAAATGCTGAATGCGGAAAGAATTACGAAATCCCTGACCAGCGTTTTGACACGAAAGTCAAATGCCCGACTGGGCAGGCCTCATTTTGGGTCAATGGGTCAAACTGTATTCCCCTTTTTACGGAGCAAAATTCCAGTGAGATGCCCGGCCGGGATGTGCCCGGGGGCCGGGTATGGATGGTTTTGAAATTGACCGGTACCCTGAACAATTCCTAGTTTAAAAACAGGCTAAAATCTGCGATCGATGATTGACGTTTCCTTCTAACTTTGCCTGTTTAAACTCGGCAAGGGATACTTACGTGGCAGATTTGATTTAGCATGCATTTATGAGATTGTGTTTTTTTGATATCTACTTTGGATTAAAAGAAAAAAAACTGGAAATTTAAACTAGCCTGCAAAACAGGCGCTATATGAGCCAAGCGAGGCGCTTAAACCCCCGTGAAGAAATTAGCTTCCTTTTAAAATAGAAGTAGAGTTATTTTTAGTAGCTACTTCGACAATTTGAAGTACGAAGCAAAAATAATTCAACATCGTTAACATTTTAAGGGGTTTTTAACTGTGGTCACGTGTTTGATGACGCCTTGATTAAAGATAAAGAGGAAAATAAAATGGGTCAATGGTGTTTACCTGTGGCAGGCAAAGAATTCGAACGATACAGTATTCATTGACTTGGGGCAAAGATTCAATTCTGTCCACAACGGAGAAAAATCTCATTTCATTAAGAAGTCATTTCAGCACCTCTTTACTTCTGCTCCCCACAATATCGTGCATTGTAGTGCCCATCTCCCGCGACAAGCCCCCCCCCCCCCTCTCCCCCCCCCCCTCCTCCCCCCGCCTTACCGTCCTCCTCCTGCCCTCACCCCCCCATTCACTCCCCGCCCCTCCCCCCCTCACCCCCCCACGCCCCCTCGCTCCCACCCACAGCTCCTCCACACGTCCCGCGCTCAGACTCCCACACCTACACTTTTGGGCAATAAGCCTGTATACAGGTATTTGGACATTTAGCGGGAAGTGGTGTGAGTTTCAAGCTGCAATTGCAGCAACGTTAGTAATTGCTTCTATTCTGAATATGGGTCTTATCGCTTTCAACCGACATATTAGGGTAGTTAAACCAACGCTCTATAGCAGACTTTTCCCGAACAAAAGAATGGCGCGATTCTACTGTGCAGTGGTATGGATAACTGCTCACTGACTGCTATACTCCTTGGAACACCGCCATTGTACGGCTGGGGCAAGACGGGCTACCATCCTTTATTCGCTGTCTGCACTTTTGATTGGAAAATCGATCATATTTCGTATGCCATAGTTATCGTGGGCACGGATTAACGGAACCACATTGTTAGAATCTTGAAAACCTGTTTCACGGTCGTTTGTGTATTTCTGCTGACATATGGTCCAGTTTCTGTAGTAGTGGTTGTTGAGACCGCTGGTTGCTCCATCCCAAGGGAGATTTCTAGAGCAGTTATTTACCTTATGTTCACAAGTTGTTTAGTAAATCCAATTATATACGGGGTTATGAATCCGCAGTTCAAAGCGGCCTTCAAAGGGGTTTTAGTTTAGGTCGTCATGACAACAACAAAAAAGTTAAGGACGTTCAAGAAATGCAACCAAATCTTGTGGACAATCTTTTTTTCTCGAGACGATATCATGACACAAATGTCCAGCGCTGGCCACAAGATCCCTACTTTCCTTTTTCATCCTTAGTTCTACACTTGTCTGAGGTGTGGAAGTGTGAAATAACCCTACTTTCCTTTCTCATCCCAAGTTCCACACCTCTCAGATGTGTACAAGTGTGGTATAGTCATAGTGTGGTATAATGTCACCCTTTTCCACTGGTCACGAAACCTCTTGTTATTCCTTACTTAGCTCCACACTTCTCAGAGGAGTGGAAGTGCGACAATATCCTTATTTTGTCAGACTATTCCACACTTCCACACCTCTGAGAAGCGTAGAACTAAGTATGAAGTGAAGAAACTCTGGATTTCATGGCCAGGGCTGGGCATGGCTCGAGGACTATATATAACCAACCCATTTATAATAAAGAAGACATCTTTAAACAGCAGGGCTGGGTTGCTAAGTGTCATTTTTTTTGTCTTCAATAAACCTTATTCACGATACAGTTAAGACCCGCGAGTAAGTACCACTTTTTTTGAAGTCTGCATGCAAAATAGGTTCTTGTATTTTGGGTTACTTACGATCACTTATTGGCAAGTAATTTTAGCCAAAGTTGGTTCTTAATTCTAATGAAGGAGTTAAAAGCTTGTTGATTACCAAACAAATAAATTAACTGGGGTTTGGTCCTTAAAAGTACAGTATTCATTCACAATTGCATAACTGTTAAAAACCCTAACAAAACTGATTACCGAATTTATATACAGTTGGGTACAGTATGTTCTTGTTATACATAACCTCAAAGCTAAATTCCTTGATTAAAAGTTTACCATAATTTAACTGCAACCCGCATAATAAGAACCTTCTTGATCTTGCTTGGCTACACAGGTTCTTGTATTTTGGGTATTAAAGTGGAAAATTTCTGCCAGGAGGTTCTTAATCCACTAGGTTCTTATTCCCGGGTTTTTACTGTATCCACCATCTTTGCGGGGGCTTAAGGACTGATGGGATAAAAGCAAAATCACGTGGTTTCTCAGGGAGCAAACAACTGATTAAGGGCCTGTTTACATGGAGGTGAGGGACCCCAGGTAGGTGAGGTAACCCGCATAGGTGGGGTAACCCGCCTGTTCATATAATCACTCATATTAATTTGATCATATTTACATGATAGGTGGGGTGACCCGCCGCATGTTACCTCGCCTANGGAAGTGCGACAATATCCTTATTTTGTCAGACTATTCCACACTTCCACACCTCTGAGAAGCGTAGAACTAAGTATGAAGTGAAGAAACTCTGGATTTCATGGCCAGGGCTGGGCATGGCTCGAGGACTATATATAACCAACCCATTTATAATAAAGAAGACATCTTTAAACAGCAGGGCTGGGTTGCTAAGTGTCATTTTTTTTGTCTTCAATAAACCTTATTCACGATACAGTTAAGACCCGCGA